ACATCAGAATCAGCTGCTAGCTATGTAACATCAAGTTCCACTTTTAAGTGGGAATTGTTATGATGGTTCAGCGTAACGGGAAGTGCTAAACGTGCTGCCATGATTTTGAGACATTCTCATCCAGACCTTGATCATGTGTCTTCATGACCTCTATTTTGGGATATTCCTTATAGCAGACTTTTCATTAGAGGTAGATTCCTAGTAGTAGCTAGTCAGAAAATGAGGCATTTATTTTAAAGTCAAGCTTACCAGATTTTTTGATCTGCATACAGTTACATCTGATTTACTTTTAGAAACTTTTCTCCATTTGGTTTGATACTCTAATATTTGTCTTTAAATTCCTCAGTGACATCTGCCCTTGACTTCTGATGTTAGTTTATTTATTTTTGCTACCTGTATGGATTAGAGGTTTTACAGAGGATTTTTACCTATATTAAACTCTTTACTTGGTTTCCCATGAGGAAACCTCTTCAGTCTGATAGCATCTGCTCCATATGTGTCTTTTAATGAAAATAGCCCTTCAGACATCTGTTAGGCCAGCTAAAAATAGAAGAAATTGGGAAATTTGGACCCTCCCCTTCTTGGAAGATTCCTTTTTAGGAAAATATCATTGTCTGGTTTCAACTTGGAGTAGCAAAAGCTGTCTGCATTTCATACTGATGCAGATGTCAGTACATCTAATTGTATTTTTTGGATAAGACAAAAGAAAAGGACTACTTTCTTTTCACAGAACTTACCTTCCTGTGAATTTCAGCCTGAAGGTTGTAAGCTCAGCTTATTTTGACAGCTGTGTTGTAGCCCCCATTGGCAATTCTGAGATGTGTTCACTGACCTTGCTGGGCCATCTTTGTTGAACATAATGCAATCCAAAACAGTACCAGGGATTTTCTGCACTGTGAATCAGTGCACTGTCATCCACAAGACAAGAGAAGGCTGCCTGTGTTCAGCTAGGTGGTAATTGATAGGTGTTGTCCCTGTGTCACTTATAATACACTGCCTTCTATTCTTCTCTGAATATCCTTTAGGAAAATATTTGATTTGCAAGAAACTTAGTAGTTCAAGCTAGAGAAGCAGAGTAACAGGACATACTCTCCATTGTTGCTAGTAAGGCTGAAAAGTCATTAGTTGAATTGTTTCCATACATGCATACATATATATATATATATATATATATGTACTCAATTTCCCTTAAGTAATTTTAATTTTATGTTGGCAGTTCTTGACTTTATTATACTTTCCTTGAGGAAAAAGAGTATCTCAAAGGTGAAGAAAGAGTTACTATTTCCACTTATACATAAAAACACTTCAACAAAAATACTGATTTTTATTGTGAATTGACTTCCCATACTGTGAAATAATGTTTGATCTTTCCAGAATCCTGCTGTTTTTCACTGAGATTTAGGCATGTTGGCTGTCCTTTTCAAATTGAGCAGGATGTTCTTTTATCTTCTTTAAACATGATAAAATATCTCTTAAGGTATCAGTCCTTCCCTATTTGATTTTTTTTCCCTGATTTTCAAGTGCCTGGGTTTAAAGATAAGTGTCAGGAATTCTCACTTCTTTTACCTCTGCACTCTTAGGAGTTCACTGATGCTGCAGAGGTGAAAGCCATACATTATCCGCAGGGAATGGTGTTCCAGTTTGCTCTCTTTAGTCAGCTTGGCTGTAACTGTTATTTCAGTTTTTGGATGAGAACATTTTCAGGTGGTCTGACAGCCTCAGCACTGTTGCTCCTTTTAAAGGAGCTATGAAACTGAAGCACTTGCAGTGGTTTTTTCTATGAGCTTGTGACAGGAGTGAAACCCCTTCAGTGATCAAAAGGTAGCGTCAGTGGAACTTCTGAGATGCTTTCCTTTACTTGACATCAAGAGAAAAAGATAGTGAGAGTACATATATCAGATTGCACATTCTTGTAGTTGTCTTGTGATTTATGCTGTATTTGAGAGGAAAACCTGTCTTTGCTGTTGGATGTGAGATCTGTGAGAGCTGCTACTGGGTATCTCAACTCATAAGTCAGTTCCCATTTGGACTTGCTTATAGTGAGACTCTTCTTGTGGACTATTACTTAAAAAGTAGTACAATTTATTACCTGCGCACTGAGTTCTCTAACATGTACAGGTTTCTAATTCAAGTTCCTGTTTTATTATTTGGATTATTTGTCAAGACTGACGTAAACTTATGTCCTTATATGCTGATTATAAAAAAATATAGGGTGTTTAATCTAAGATGGTCAGCATTGCAACACTTTAGCACCTGATGTGGTAGGGTGTATGGATTTTACAGTTTAAATATAACTGTAAACTACATGTCGCAAAAAAAGTCACATGTTGCTAAGGGAACTCTTCTCAATTTTTGACTTAGCAAACAGGTAAAGAAATAATACCAACAACATGCATTGTACGTGGATTTCAGGGCATTTTCAACAACAACAATAATGCTAGTAGTAGCAATAATAACAATCCCAGTGGCATTTCTGTTGTGTTTCTGGCATGTGTTCCTGTTTCTAATTTTTAAGATTACATATTTCTGCATTCAGCTTTAAGAATTGCATACTTACGTACTGGACATCTGGATTTCTTGCAGTTCACATGGTTCTGATGAAAACTTGGCACCTTTTATGCAGATGTGCATGTGCAACGTATCTTTGTGGTCTAAAGTGCCTGATTATTTCAGTTTCAAGGATCTGCCTGTCTGAAAAGCCAGGAGTCAACAAATGATACATCTTCTGGTGAATCAGTAGTATCTTGAGTTCAATACCATTTAAAATCAATGCAACTTACACTGAATTTTTGTAGTTTTTATGGTTTAATATTAACGATCATCTCTATTGAGCCCTGAGTGGGATATTAAATACTAAAAGTCTGGATAGTTTCAATGGAATGTTGTGGGGTTTTTTTTTCCTAGTCTAGACACAGTTTTTTTTCTGGCTAGCTTTAGGACAAAACTTAAAAACATGTTCTCAAAATGCTGAGAAGTACAGGTGGTAGTACATATATAAATGTAGTAGTACATATATAAATTTAGTAAGATAATTGAGGAAAAGGAGTTAATAGTGATTCTTCCTGACAGAACTTGGAGAATGAATTTATGACACTTGCTTCTGTCCACTACCTTAACATTCTTTTATGTAGTTATTCTTAAATTAGATATAAAGTTGTTAGAGTACTGTGTTAATTTCATGTGGAATTTAGGTATTTCTGTTTCTATTTTGCTGTGAAATGCCCCGTTCAAATTCAAGTGCCATTATCCTTATTTATCCATTCTTAAGTAAGAATTTTACCACACTTGTTGGATACTATTTCATGTAGTATAAGAACAGAATATCTGCCTACAGTTGGTACTGAGCTAATAATGTTCAAAGTGTACATTTTAAGTATTTTACTTGCCCACCAGGCTGAAAGTAGTCAGTCAACTAAAGTACAACAGTTGATTTTCAACCTAGTTTAATCTGAAAGACATCCTGATTATGTGATCTGCTCTATGATGAAAACCAAAGTATGGTTAGTGGAAATGATTTCTTATTTTACATCAAGATTTTGTACCTGAACTAAAATTCAAATGGTGTGTTTACTTCAATGAGACATCATCATGTGGCTGCACAGCTATGCAGGCATTTCTGAAATGGCCTAGTGATATAAAATGTTAACTCTACCTGATTTTATTTTCTTCTACTGTCACAGTAAATCCAATAAAATAGGTTTTAAATTCCATCCTCTTCTGCTTCTATATCAAACCCTTTGGATGAGACAGCCTTCAGTTTCACTTCACACTGAAAATGAATGGAGTGTCACCATTATCCTTTACACTGAGTCTCAGGGGATAATCAGTGCCATATGACTTATGAATACTGCACTGTCAGAGGAATTTTCACATTGGTAGACTGGATCTGTGTTGAGAAATAGTCTGTAAAACCCTTAGGTATCACTGTGGTTTGGAAAGGGGTATGTCCAATTTAAAGGCAAAAGTTTAAGGCCATTATATGAAGCCTACTGCTTTGTAGGAAAAGTGCAAATATTATTGCTTCTTTCTTGCATCAAGAAGTACTGATAGCTGGAAACAATGTGTTCCTTATTAAGAAAAAAAGTAAAAACTTAGTTTAAGATTCTGGGAATTGTAAAGAAATTATTGTCTTGAACCTTGCCTTCAGAGGGAAGAAGACAAGTATGAGGAAGGAGATCTTACGGAATTAATGAAATTGATGAGAAAACAGGGATAGGAAAAAATAAGATAAGCAGCTCACTGAATAATTTTTTAGTGTTCCTTGTGTGGATATAGTAAGCAATGTGCAAAGTATGTCGGAGTGAGAATTCAGTGACCTAGTATATAAGAAGGTCAAAATTTCTGTTGAAAATACATAATCAGTAAGCCATAGGAAAAGCCAAGTCTTTTGTATGTGATCCAGAGAAGCTGTTTTCCTGGAAGCATTCAGCTGCAACTAATGAACTGTATTAGGTTAGTATACAGGAGTGTAGGGGGTATGAACATTGGTATATATTAGTGTATACTATATTAAGTGTTTCAAAGATTTTTTCAAAACTGTTATTTTCCTGCAAGTTTATCATTGGCTCTTATTGACGTCAGCTTTCAAATATTTGCACCAGAAAATGAGATTTGTCTTGTTTTGGTACATCCAGAGTTATACAAAATTTGTGAACTTCTTTCATTCCTTTGCAACTACTGGGTCATAAACTTGGATTAGTTTTATAGGATTTGGTATATGAGTTGACAGATGTGATATATGATGACACTTTATCTTTTATTGCTTACACATACTAGTTATTTGGAAAGGATGGGGGCAGTTCCTATTAACCACAAGATGGGATTTCAGTTGCTTACCCAAGTGTCTCTCATTCATTCATTCATTTGCTATCAGTTATAGCAGATATATTGCTTCTTCAAGCCTGTCACACCAATAAATCATTTCAGAGCGTATGCATTTGTACAGTGCCAAAGTGTACCATGAATTTTAAAGGAAATCTTCTATTTTTCTTTTCAATCAGATGAGCAACGTGAAGAGACTACGGCCACGGCTCAGTGCTATTCTTTTTAAGCTTCAGTTTGAGGAGCAGGTGAACAACATCAAACCTGACATCATGGCTGTCAGTGCTGCCTGTGAAGAGATAAAGAAGAGTAAAAGCTTTAGCAAGCTACTGGAACTAGTATTGTTAATGGGAAACTACATGAATGCAGGTTCTCGGAATGCACAGACCTTTGGATATAATCTCAGCTCGCTATGTAAAGTGAGTTTTGAAATGTCCATGTTAAGTATTACATTCACTTTTTTGTTGTTTTTATTATACTGCATAAATACTCTGATTTAGATTTTTTTTCCTGCAGTTAATTATTTGCTTACTATTTTTTTCCTTATTATTGGCATTAGTTGATAGTTTGAACAGTACAGATAATCCATGAATAGTCATCTTAGAACTGGTTTGCATTTAATCACTTTTAAGTGATTCTGTTTTAAGGAAGTAATAAAAAACCCAAACTAAATAAGGTTGTGTAAGGACCCAATCACTGTGATCACAGTAGTTTTGTAATTTTAACATGTCTGAGCTCTTCTAAGGCATCTATTACATTTTAGTATGTTTTAGTACAGTTATGTTTTCTTTTGGACATGAATTTGCTCCTTACGTGATTCTCTTATGTTGCTCAGTTTCATTAGTTTCTTGCTTCTTCTGATTTTTCTTCAATTTGCACGCTTTCAACTTCTGTAAAAGGTATATACAAGAAGGTGTCTATACTTTGCTGAGTGTTAATTTATAATCCATTCTAATGGTAGCTACCTTTCCCGTATTTAGTGTTGTTTTTTTTTTTTTTCCTGTACTCTCTGGGAGATTACTGAACAATCTTCACAGTGCACATATAGTTCTTACGAGGAAGGAATTATTTGAAACTTTGTGTGTATTCTTTGTCTTTCTGTTTCTTTATCTTTTTGCACAAGGGAAAGCACAATATGTTAACTTCTACATTCAGTAAACTAATCACCCTTACTCTGCCATATTTCAGAATAATTCTTTCACTGAGTGTTGAATGTGATACCTATGACATAAATATTCATAAAGAATTAGTTATGTTCTTTCCCTAGTCTAAAGTAAGCATTAAGCATGAGTCATCCACCTAGAGTTAATACATTGTAGATGAAGTGATTGAGTTAAAAATACAATTTGTTGAGGAACATATTCAGAAGGAAGGTACTAAAGGTTCTTAATCCAATTAGGTGCATTTACTTAAGTATGATTTTACAAGAATCTGTTCTAGGTGTGGTTGTATTCTCTGTATTTTTAATGCACAGGAGAACAAACGTATTTATTAAAAGAATGTGAAGGCAATTGATAAAGCACTTTGCAGAGCAGGATCAAAAGTCAGAATTTATCTTGGAGAAATAATTTATTAAGATCTAGGATATAAAGATTTTAAAGATAACCATGGAGTATGAGATATAGGAGAAGGAATTGATGTATATAGATAATGAGAGTATGGGATGAATGACTATTAGTTCTTTTACATCAGAGAGCAGCCATGACTGATCTCAGGAGATACAATATTGATGTGCTAATACTTAATCCTTCATTAATTACTGATGCATGTCTATAACACAGGCTAATTTTTATAGCTAACTATTGTTATATATCACAGTGTGTTTATTACATGTACCGCAGTGTCACATTGTAGAAATTTTTTGTGGTGTTATTGAAACATCTTTCATTGAGCTTCCCAATACCACAGAAGTAACATATTTTATAACATTGCATACAGTAAGGTTCCTAGAATATATTTTTGGGTTTTGATATATATGTGTTCCATTTCCTGTTTATTTGGAAAACTGTTATTAATCCACTTTTCTGAAGGAAATCATGCATGCTCTGGGAGAGTATATCTCAGCACAGTAGCATTTTGATCTTTGGAAATGAACAGACTTTTCAATACTGTGTTAAGGACTTGGTGCCGTGATATTCAGATGGACAAGTCTTTATGTAATTGTGGCAGCCCTTTTTTACTCCTGTTTACTTTGTGTCTACATGCTTGTCTACTTGTCCTGCTAATTTTTTTTGTGCAGAACTAATAAACACTTAGTGAATAAACACTTTCATATGTGATGTCATTTTCTAAGATGTCTTTGATTTAAAAGAAGACCTCATTTGAAAGACTATAACAGACGTGTCTGTCATCTGTCAACTGTTAAGTGTTTTTACACAAGTAGCTGCAAGTTTTAAAGTGGCCAGGCATGAAAATAATTTTGTATGTATAAAGAGTCCAGAAAGAAAGGTTTACACTTAAGAATTCTTGAAGTCAGTATTTTTAAACAAAGAGACCTATGAATTCTTATTTACTGTATTGAGAATTGATAACAGGAACTTGTGCATGTTGAGGTTGTGTAGTTTTCACTACATAAATAATTTTAGGCTAGAGTTAATTTTATACATGAAGAAGGAAATAATGTAATCAGTGGATACGTGCATTAGGTATAGTTAGATTTTGCTGATTTAACTTTGATTTTTCTTTTTTGCACTTTCATGTGCTTATTCACAGTTTTATAAATATACCTGTAAATATTGTTGAAATAATTCCATTTTAAAAAGAAATATATGTACTAGCTTTGAATACTGGACACAAATATTGCATGGAATGAAAAAATACTTAGTGTGACCTTTCTAGGAATTTTTAGCAAGGGGGTGAAATAAAACAGCCCATTGCTGTCTTAAAACAAAATGCACTACTCTAATAGTTTCTTTTCTTTCTCAGATGAATAATTACTAATATATATCAATTATTAAAATGGCCATAAATAAAATTTTTCTCAGTGTTTTTACATTTCTTTTTTTCCCCCTGCTCAGCTGAAGGACACAAAGTCGGCAGACCAGAAAACAACGTTACTTCATTTTCTTGTAGAAGTGTGTGAGGAAAGCTATCAGGATGTCCTGAATTTTGTTGAGGATTTTCAGCATTTGGATAAAGCTAGTAAAGGTTTGTGTAACTAACTAAAAGTTTTGATTTTGACACATTACAGTGTCTTGTGTATAAGATGATGCTTATTTTTTTACTAACAATATTTTAAAAAGAAATGTTAATAGTCAATATCACAGATTAGTAATTTGAGCTGCTGCGAATGGTCTTGAAGATACTTATTGTTTGGTCCTCTGACACTTAGTAGAGGACTTCCCATTGCATTTCTATTAACTTATTTTCTAGAACCATTTTCCATACTGGTTTTCTTTTAAAAGTTCTTTTCTGTTACCAGTTCTTAATTCCAATCTTCGATCTTTTATACGGTAAGTATATCACTCACCGTCTTCTTATTCAGACATGTAGAAAGGCTGTGATGGCACCACTTTATTTTGTTTTTTTTCAAAACATGGAACAGTTTCATCTTCCCTACATGTATCTTTTTCATGCAACAGTTACACTGGAAGTCTGGAAAAATGTGTAGTTTCATCATGCAATATAGAATCTCTGTATAAGCACCAGCAGAGTTTTTTGAAATTAATTTCTTAATTAAAAGTGCCTTTTCTACATTTTATCAGTTTAAGTAATTTAAACAGGCAAAGCATACAGGTAGAAACTGATGGTACCTTAGCACTGTCCTTCTCTGTCAGGAAGAAGTGATTGGATGGGCTCAGTTAAAAATTTTTTAGTTTATGTCAATTTGGAAAATATCACAGTTTATCTATAATGTTTTGTAGAGTGTCAGTCTCATACCTCAGTCAGTCTCCCTGCTGCAAATTACAACTTTGCAAAACCTGCCTCTGATAGAGGACTTGAGATAGTGGTCACTTACATAGAGTTCACTTTCTGCTTCTTAAAATTTCCAGTTTTACTTGGTGTATGATAACCCCAGAAAAGTTCAATTATTTTTAAATAGCTGTCAAATGCTTCAAACCCTTCACCTAAATGCTTATACTGGTAATAGAAACAGTTTCTGCTGTATATTAATTTGGTGTGTTCAGGATTATTTTCAGTGTTAACTGGTCACTGATTTTTTTTTTCATCACTAATGTTATTGTATGTATTGTGGTTGAGTCTGTTTTTATCCTTAATAGAAGGCAGTATTTTCAGTCTAGACAATCATCTTAAATGACGCTGCTGACTGTTTCCTGGAAAAATTCTGAGATCTAGATCTAGATGGTTCAAAGAGTAGCCAGTAAAATTATCAATTAGCCCAGGCTTTTTGTTCTGTTCTAGGCATCTGGTAACGACTAGTAGAGTCTTTGATCTCACTCAGTATGAGGTAGGATGGAAATCAATGATCATGTTTTCAAGTTTATATATTGAATTTGCTACAGCGTATTCTAAGATGCATTTTGCATTTCAGTTTTACTGTGCGAAAAAGACAAAAGTTTAGGATATCTCTAACAGATTAGGGTATCAGCGTGTTTGTTTATATTTGTTTCCCTACCTGCAAAACTTTTTTCTGTTTTTAAAGACTCCTGCTGCACTGGAATTTTGAAAAACCCAGCAGATCACAAAAAACTGTAATTCATGGGGGTTTTTTAAACATTTTAGTACTTCTGCAAAAGTACATTTTTATGAAGCAAGTTGATTTAATATGCAACGACTTTTGTACAGTAAATTTTTAATGAAGTGGCTATTTTTGCTTGAGCTTAGCAGAAGGTCAGTTATAAAGAAAGTCTGTGAATCTGTTCAGTTACATTCCCTGTAATGGTCTCATGTATTACTGATATGCTGATGAAGTCTAACAAGTTGACCAAGAGAGCTGGAAAATCATAGCAGATATTACAGCAGATATTACAAGCCATCATTATGGCTACTAGGGGCAGTGATAGAGGGGAAGTAATCAAAAATCTTTTATATAGTCAGATATGTGTATTCCAGAAAAAAACCAAAACTTGTTGTGGTAGAACAGACCGTTGGTACTGAGGGCTTAGAGGATTTCCTCCATTCTAAGATATTCTAATTTAGGGTTTAGTAGAAATAATCCATCCTGATTTGCATTTCTGGGAGGCAATTTACACTTCCAGGAAATCTGGAAAAGCCCTGGATCCAAATGTTATGTCTGAGGGTTACAGGCTGCTGATAGCATAGAAGGGAGGAAGCCAGCCTTGGTTTTTCCTGTCATTCAGCAGAAAGGTTCTATTCACACACAGGCTGTTTTGTTCCTCAGAGTTGTTGGGTGAAGAGACAACATCACTCTTTTTCTGCTTTTATATCGTATTAATTTATTGTTCAATTTTCCCCTGAACCATAGAGGTAGTATTTTGTTCCAGTACTTCTTGTTAAATCCTCTTCTCTAGCTTTTGTTCTGGCAAAGGTTAGGACCTTGTACAGGTGGCAGAATTAAATTCCCTTCATGGTTTTACTGAACTTCCTTTTTTGATGTAATTCTTAAAAATATTTTCCAATAATAAATCAATGAAGTTGGATAAGACTATTCTATTCTCCTATACCTTTGTTGCAAGGTGGTTTTTATTGAGCTGGTTTTATTACCTGTCTGCATATTCATGTCTTCAGATACAATAATTTCACATTTTTATCTGGCATAAAAGTATTATTTGCAGCTGTTCTTTAAATTATAAATCAAAATTAATGTGGTAGAAAGATGTGTAAATGCCATTTGAACAATATTAACTGAAAACTTGAAGTTGCACCTATGTATTTATACATAAAAATGGAACTGTACTGTGCACTTGCAGGTTTTGGCTTGATATCTCCAAGTAATTGTTTACTCTTCTACAGGTGTCTCAAAACAAGTTTCTTAAAGGATGCATTTTTGTAGAATTCTTCCTTGACATGACTGTTATTGTATCAGCCAGCTGATTTGTAGCATACCTTGAATTTTTTTGTCTTACACTTGCTCATTCTTAAAACTTGTCTTTCAAGTTATTTCTTATTCAAAATGGTGAACATTAGAACATTACAGTGTTCAGCAACTCATTTTCTTTTTATGCTTTTCAGAAGAAACATTCATGCTTCTTTAGTTTTATTAAACATTGCCCAGTGATCATACAGCGAGCTGTTGAAATGGCTTGTAAGACTTCAAGAGCATTGCAAGTGACTGCACCAAGTTAATGGTGATTCTATTGTATTTTATAAATGATTAAATATTCACAGTATGTAAATTAATTGTTGCAGGAAAAATATTTTTTTAAATCTAATTTTGAGAGGCAAACAGTAAGGAACATATGACCTGTGCAATTGAAGTTTGCTTCAGGATATTTAAGATTTTTAATTTGTGGGTTTGGTTTCTTTCCATTGTATGCTAAAGTTTTAGTTTTTACTTCTGTAATACTAGAAGTAGATTTAATTCACTGTTACAGTACATGAATTAAAGATACCTTTTTACTTTGAAGTGTAACAAATCCTGTTTTCTAAGTGCTCTTAGATCAGCAGGAAGGACTTTCATTGCAGCTAATGAGCTTACAGATATGACAGTTCCTGAAGATTTATATAATTAAAGCTGTCCTTTCTTTTAAACATAATGACTTCTCTGCTTTTCTATTAGTATTCCAGACAAGAAATATTTTGGTAATTCAGTATAATTTACTAATTTCTTATTTTATGGTATTATGAAATTTTATATTGCATTCATGCAGGCTGGTGTTTTACTTGATTGACTCTAATTTACACAGACCTTACAGGTAACAGTGTATTGAGTCTTTCATATTGTACTAACTGTAAAGCTGCAGATTTTCTTTTCTCTACAAGATATTAACATCACAGATTTGCAAGTAACATATCCATTTTCTCTTTTTTGAAATTTAAATTGTTTTTTTAATAGATAATTAATTTCACTTCAAAATTAAAAAGGCTAGGAACCAAATTGAAAATATGAAGTTTAACCTATATTAATGAAAAATAGGACACCCCCACCTATAAAAATTAAAGACGTTAGGGCAGCATGAGAGAAAAAAAATAGTAATATATGTATAATGAGAATTCTATATATCATAAGGAAAGGCTGTTTGTCTTGTTAGACAATTTCTAAGGTAATGACAAATTTCTCAGTACTATTAAATAATGTATTTATGCTATGCATTTCTTGGGTTTTGATTTGGGTGACAAATTCACAGGCCCTTATTTTCAGGCCATCAGGGTTATATACTCTGTAGGGGAAAAATGTGGATATCTGCTGAAATACAAAAAATATCCAATGGGTTGTACAGAAATCAATTTCAAGAGGAACCTTAAAATGGTGGAAAAGGCAATTAAAAAAAAAGGTAAACGAATTGTGCAGATGTATAGACCTTGAAGGTGAGAAAGCTTAATTTTAATGAGTAGGAAGGTGCTGAAGTTGCATTTAGATGTACATGTAGACTTGTGTATCTTGCTACCTATATACCTCAGAGAGTTTGATCTTTGAGTGACAATATTGGATAGAAGACTGATAAATGTGGCCACTTGTAAACTTTTATTTTTATCTCTGTTAGACTCATATTTATTGCCATTCCATGCTAATAGTTCATTTGGAATCATTATTAACCACTCTCACTGCATATTCAAAACAGTTAGTTATTAACAATCATACCCTCAATTATCTGCAAGTATACAACACGCTGCAGTCAGCACAGCATTTTGTGGTCCCCAAGGAAGCAGGTGATGAGACTCAAGAACTCTTCAGCAAGGGAAGCTGCAACTGGTGCAAGGGTCTTCTTTGTGCTCCCTCCTCTGAATTTAATTTCTTCTTTTATAAGATGGTTTTGTCTCTTGACAAATCGTGGTCCACCACTGTACCATATCACTGTGTGCTGTGTAACATTGGGGGACCTTGATCCCTGTGCTCAGGGCTGGTGCTGTATCCTTTCTTGGCCATTTTTTCCTGCTTGCCTTAGCAGCTGCTTCTTTCTGTCAGTAGCAGCTCAGGGATAAATACCTGACACTCAGTGAATTGTCATTCAGGTGTTTCTGTTTTCAGCTGTTTCCCATATTAACAATTTCTGGAGCTTAAACTGACCATTATAAAAAGAGATCTGGTGTAAGACTACATTTCTCCCAGGAGGCTCTTGAGGTTTATAATGAGTCCAGCAGGCCAGGGCTCTTGTGGAGGTACTATTGGGCATAGTTGCTGCAGGATCTGAGGCCTGATACTACTGATGATAGTACTGGTGAACTGGGTACAAAAATGCTTCCACATTGTTTACCAGTTACACTACATTGGTGTGCTCATATTTGAATTCAAAATAAGAGACTAAAATCCTACTTAGGTGCCTTTTTTCATGTGTGAAACTAACGTCTGCTCTGGCTACACAAGGGAAAGCCTGAGTGCTAAAGAGCCAGTGGCATTGTCAAAGCTTTGGGGGAAAAAGATCTCAAAAAGAGTGTTGTATATGCACCTTAGGCACACACACACATACACACACACACACAAAGAAGAAGGGGGAGAGAAAAGGCAAGAAAGCCAGAAAATGGCTGTAGAGAAAAGGGAAGTCGTTATTTGAAAAAAAAAAAAAAGCATAATTTTTATATTTTCAGTGCTGTATGACACTGAGTATATCTAAGTAGATCTTATGTTACTGTTAATGGATATTTCAGACCTTTGCTGGTGTTTGCAGAAACACTCAGTACTTTTCCTCTGCAATATTTCTTTGTTAGTGCTCTAAATCCACCTGAAAAGATTGGTGAGTTTTTACTTGTTGATTATTGGGCTTTTTTTGGCTATGTTTTGTCATTTAACTTTACTTTTAAATGCCGCATTTATAATATTATGACAATTTTAGAGAATTATTTGGTAAACTCAATCAGTCCAGTGTGATTTTCACATGGCAAAACTAATAGTACATTTCCAGAATATTTTTTAATAATATGGAATAATTTTTTTTATTATGCTAGAGGTCAGTTTGTCACTGTTACTGTCTTAGAATAAAGGGGCCATAATAGCACAAGGGGAGTAAAATACCTGTAGACAAGGGGATGAACATCATGATTAGGATATGGCAATATCCAAGCAAATTGACAGAGTGTGGGCATGTAAGATGTCTGAAATATTGACTGATGCAAAAAGTAGCAAAAAGGTTTGCAGCAATAAAAATGAGAGAACATGCTAGTATTGCTTCACTCTGGAGAATTATTTCTACTATTTAAGACTAAACAGGTATAGTTTCAAAGCTAGATTAAATATTGTTTTATTTTTAAGCAAGAATAATGATCTGGGGATGGGAGAGATGGGAGTGAGAATTCTCCATAGAAATTCTTTGAAAGAAAAAAATCTAGAGTACTGTATTCTCATACTGTAAATACCATTTCATATTCTGCATCCTGAGATAATTGGCATAAAACTAGAAGTTTAGTAAGTACATTTTTATCGAGTTTTGCTGTGGCTATAGTAATGTTGTGCTACTACAGAATATTTAAGAAACCAAAGAAACAATGGTTTGAGCAATTTCATATCTCTTTATCTGACTTTATTGATATGAAGGTTTACAAAGGAAAGAATAATCCAACAGAGAAAGGTTAATAAGAGTAGCATATAAAAAAAGAATTTATTGGTAGCTTTGGTTATTAATTTTTTAAATTTTTTTTTCAATCCCATAAAATCTATGTTGGCTTTAGTAAAGCGCTTGATATTATATACAATGGGAGAATATTCATTAGAATGAAAAGTAGAAGAAACAAAATACTGTCTTAAAGGAACATGGTCAAAAAAAAATTGTGGTATTGCACCAATGAGCATGTCTGACACAGGGTTAGATAGTTTGCCAGATGAGAGGGGTATCCGGTTGTCATCACTGAGTCACCCTGAGGACGCAGAATAAAAGAAATGAAAATCAATAGCACGAAGTACAAGATCATGCATCTTGATACTGTAATAAGGGCTTTGGTCAAAAAAAAAAGAGGATATCTTATTGTAAGTTAATCAGATAAGGTATTCCCAGAATAACTGGAGAAACTGTAGTGCAAGAATTAAAGGGCTGGTGAGTCATCACCTGAAACACTGTGCAGAAATATTTGAAAAGAGAAGCAGGTGAAGAGGCTTCTGGTATAATTGTAATATTAGAAAACCAGATTCAGAAGCCCTAAAAATGAAGTAGTTTTAACCATGAAAAACAGATGATGGGAAATCTAATTATTGCTTATAAAGATAGCAGGAGCCATTCTGGAAGAGGACTGTGAGAGTTTAGGGGGTATAAGCAGGTGTAAGTAGGAGATTGTTTAGGCACACATGCATTGTATTCAGCAAACAACTTGGCTTTGTGGACTCACTGACATTCAGAACCCCAGGGTTTGACTTTATTTTTTAACTAGCATATGAGTTGTGTACTTCAGTTTGGCTTGGGTTTATTTCTGAATCCTTTTAGGAGTAGGGGTTAAAGTTAAGGAGGTTTTTTTCATTTTCTGCCATTCTTCTACGTCACTTCAGATTTTATACCATGGCTTTCAGAGGCACACAAGAAAAGGTTGGCAATTATTTGGTGTGATTTTTTTTTGGAAGAACTGGTTATATTTAGAGGTTTGATTTTTTTTTTTAATGTTTTCACTAAATTGAAAGCTGCAAATACAATAGTACCAAACTTAATAGCAGCATATTGTGAACTAGCCTTTATTTGAGGCTATCATCAGAAATATAGTATTAAAAGAAAATATATCTGATAGTTATACACTGCTGAAATCAAAGGCATGCTGAAATCTTAAGTTCAAGAACAACCTAAGATCATGACAGAGGAAAAAAGCCTCTGCAGGACAAAATAGAGATATAAAGATTCTTGATCAAATATGCAAATGTTCAATATCAAAAAACCTGAAGTACTAGAGTGAAAAACTGGCTTTGCTGGAAGCAAGAGCTTGCAAATCTCTTGTATAGAACCTGTTAATCAGCTCTAGGCACTGAGTTATTTTGCTGAGTTTCTCAAATGGGTAAAAGAGTGTAGCTGTTACTCAGCTGCTACCTGCAACTGGTGTAGAGGATTTTTTGATGTGTTGGGCTTTTTCATTGTTTTTAAATTGGCGTTCCTTGCCAGCTCTCATATTTTTGACATTATGTACTATGTGTATATGTCACATTAATTTATACTATGAACTCTTTTATGCAAGATAAACGGTCTTGTGAAGAGTCCAGTCAATAGTTAGATTAGGCACAAGTTGTTGTATTCTGTGTTTCTTAGCATCAGTGACATAAAATGGTATGTGCCTAACCCTCAGATGCATCTCATGACAGCAGAAATATGAATTTCTGTTAAAATCAGGTTTGTTTCTGGGGCTGGTGAAGACTGGAACATGTCTTAGTCAACATTGTCAGCTTCTAATTTTAGCTATGCTCCCCAAACAAAGCAGTTTTTTAACTACTGAAGCCAACTGACCTAACTGGTAATGATTTTGGCTTACCAATTGCTGAGTCAAAATGAGCAAGTCTAACATACAACTGAGAAACTATTTTTTGAGTAACAAGAGGCTTTAAAAAAAAGGTGATTATAAAGCAATTTATCACATTGCCATGGATCATTTTATAGTTGTCTTAACTGCTATGAATAGGATTGTAGTTACTATGCAGCATTTTACTGGTCCTTTGGGGAGTCTGTGAGACTTTTATAAGAGAAGGATGTGTTTATTTTATGTATTTTATATTTTCTATCATATAACTATTTCGTGGATGAAGTTAGGTATCCACTACAGATCATAGTAGCATCATAGGGATACAGACTTTCTCTAAGGAGTTTTTTTTAGCAATGAAAATGAAGGTAACTATACCTCTACAGATGTTTACAGTATATTATGAATGAAATAAATATTTAAAAAGAAAAAAAAAGTTGTCGGACTAGAATTCACAGTGTGTTCTTACATCTTTATATATTGCTCCTATCAAACTTAAATAAATGCTAAGCTGACTTCATAAATAATTGAAAATAAGTTTTAACCAATGGCAATAATATGGATCTAAGAAAGAATATATGTTAATTATCCTAAAATTACTCTGGTCATCCTGATAATTCAATTAACTTTATTTACAGGTAATGCATGCAACTTTACATTCATTGCTTCAAATGGTTGAAAGTTATATCTCTCTTTTCTTGGCAAAGAAAATTTACACTTTTTCTTCATCCTTCTATAAATCTCTGGTGTTTCAGCTCCACTCCTTTCTTTTTCCTAAGTCCCTGTGTTGCTCTGTTGTACCCTCTCAAATGCTTAGCCAGTACTTTTGCTCCAAAAAATTCTGTTGTGTTTTTTACCATACATAGTGCTTTTAAACTAGAGAACTGAGGTTTAGGTTTTATGCATAGGAGTGTTTAACAGCCCAATTTTCTGTGTTTGAGAATCTTATTTTCTTCATGATAATTCATAAAAATGTTTGTATTTTCTGTTTTAACAGAATGAAATGGAGAAAAGCTTTATGTTTCTTAGAATATCTTGAAAACTTGTCCTTTGGTTAATCAGAGGAGACAGACTGGCATATGTATATCTCAGGTTCACTAAAACAGCATTAATTGCATTGCAAAACCTTGGGCATAAAAACAGTTGAAAATACACCATTCAAACAGCATACATCTAGTGAGAATGAGGAATCTGTGTAGGAGAGGAGAGCTGAACATTGTAGAGTGACCTTATCTTGCATTGTAATTTGTTCAGTGTGCTTTTCTTTCAGAATTAACAGTGTAGTATGCTGATTTGGGTATGGTTTTAACTCTTGGATTTTGGAAACAATGGTTTTTGTTTAGTGTGTTAACAGAATGAATGTTCTGTATTTTAGTCTCAGCAGAAAACCTGGAGAAGAGCCTCAAGCATATGGAGAGGCAACTTCAACAGCTTGAGAAGGATTTGCAGACTTTTCCAGTTCCTGAAGATAAGCACGATAAGTTTGTAGCAAAAATGTCAATATCCTTTGAGGCACTCTTAAAAAACAAAACAAATCAAAAATTCTTAAGTAATTTTACTGCATTGCTTTAAATTTTAAATTTCTTTGCATAACTTCTGTCTGGTTTGTAGCATGTATTTTTGAAAAATATGACTTGTTTTTCCTCTCAAAAACTAAATACGTGAACAGTCCAATTAAAGGATTTCTCTGAAGTGGAATGAATGAGGAAAAAAATGCTTACTGTTGGCTTTTACATTGTATATGAGTTTTTTAACTTAGTTAAGAGAAGTTATAATAGGAATGTTAAGCACTCTAGTGTTACATTGTATTTTTATGTCAGAGTATCTTAGAAAAATATGTCTTTCACCCTGTGTCTGTTTTCTAGTGTATGCATTACCATTGTGAATGTTTTTCTACATGCAACCACAGAACCAGGAAATTTCTGTTGTTTCAGAAATGAGATTCATAGCCCGTGAAAACTGTTTTCTGGTGGGTTTTTTTTGCCAAAATTCTTTTTCTCACTATTTGTTCCAAATCATGCAGCCAGCTTCGCTGCCTGCCTTTCATGAGAGCACCTTGTGACATGAAGATAATTAAACTGGGCAAAAAAATCATTCTTTTACTTAAACCTCTCTAGCAAATGTTGGCCATATATGCTTGGCACCAAGACTAATCTGGAAGCAGAAATATGAGCAGACAGGTTGAAATTTGCTGTGCAGGCATGGTTAGGTTGTTACCTATCTGGAAGACTGCTTTGTTATGTACAAAGGCTGGAGGACTCAGGACACAGTCCTCTTGGTTGGTTTCATTCTATTACACAAGCCATGGCAAATGACCCCAAGGCCAGGTGGATGTGCTGGTTCTTCCTGTGTGAGGGCCAGTTCTGTCTTTGTTAGATGCACTGCAACCCAAGTGTTTGCAACTTAGCTTCAGGCCTTCTGTGCCTGCTGTGGGTTATCTTAACCTTCCAGTCTCGTTATTAATGTTTTGTAAGGTTGGGTATTTTGTTGTTGGGTTTGTTCTGTTTAATGTTGGTGTGATGCTTTTTTCTCCCACCTCAGTGTGGTTTTGGGAGATACAGTGCAGCCCACCAGCATGATGTCTCTACAGTATGAAACACAAGTTTGATCCTGAAGAAACTGACAGCATAATAGGAGAACTAGGAGATGGGTCCTGAAGGCAAGAGATAAAATATTGCTAGGAAGTTAGAGGAAAATATATCCATGAGAGCTTTTGGAGAATATTGCTAGGACTTACAAAGTCTGTGCTTTATTTGGAAAATTATATCTAGTCTATAAAGTTAGGAATGGGAAGCACTTGTTAAAAAATTACCAAACTATGAAAAAGGACAAGCCCTTCTTTATCTGTTAGAATATAATTAGACTATTTCAGTTGGAAGGCACCTACAACAATCATTTAATCTGAAATAGTCATGATGCAGGCTCTTCAGATACCCTCTGACTTTATGCATTTTTCTTCTAATGACTAGATTTCGAAGGAACAGTTAGTATACAGCTTTCCTTGGATATGTAGTTATAAAAAAAGATAAAAATTAAATTAGCAAAATTCAGTTGAGAATGAGTAAATCCTCCCAAAAATCTAAGAAGGAGAGCAAAAGAAAAGTGGATAAATAAAGATGTAGTTTATATACATTGTATGCTAATATCAAACATCTAATATCCAAAAATGTTTATGTAGGATGCCTCATTTCCCTTTGTGTTACTAACATTTTGGGCATTTATGAAACTTTCTGGCAGAAGTGAGAAGAATACTGTGATAAAAAGTCATCAATTGTATTTAAGACGGAGTTAGTAGGCAGACCTTGTCAATAAGAAGCATAAACTTTTTCCAAGATTGAAGTTCTCTCCCCATATATGAAGATCATTAGAGCAGTTCGCTGATCGCTTAAAAAGGATAGTGATCATCTTAGGAAATGCAAAGGAGGCTCTACAATTTGTCTTTTTCAGGCATCTCAAAAGCTCTAATCTTGCTAGAGAAGTCATGGATTATCAATGTCTGTCAAGAAGATAAGTCATAGGCATAAAGTTAAATTTGTTCTTTGCATCAGTTTTCTCTAGGGAAAATTTCAGTTGACCTTACTGTGTAATATTTTAAATGGAAGGATGATGTTAAATGAAAGAATCAGTAGAATTCTTTTTCTTAATATAAAATAAATAGCAATAAATCCCCAGGAGTAAACAATGGTCACAAAACACTTGAAAAAAAATTCAAAATTAACTCAAATATAAACTTAATGGGCTACAGACTCTTACATGAACTAAGCTAGCTGGAGGCACAAAGGAAATCATGCAACTGTGGAATCGTAGAATAAATTTGGGTTGGAATGAATCTCAAGGATCATCTGGTTTCAATCCTTCTGCTATAGGTGGGAACACTTTTCACTAGATCAGGTGAAAGCTGAAAAGAAGACCACAAGTTTTTTAGAAGGGCTACAACGTGTATCTTCAAGTCAGGCTTTGCTACCAAGAAAACTGATGAAGACTAAATATTAAATGAGCATGTATTAATTGAAAGGAAAATGTGATGGAAGGGAGTCATTGTGTGATTTGTAAAGAGAAACCATCCTTTGCAGGTCTATTGCAGCATGCAGATAAAGGTAAGTCAATAGAACATAACTGAATTTCTATTCGTGTTTCAACAAGGTTTTCACAAAGACTTATAAGGAAAGAAATTTCTTAGGTTAAAAAGTGTTTTGATTACTTTTTTTGGTTTTGGATTAATATCTTTGAAAAAAATCCTCACATCAAAGGGAGATACTGGTGGATGCTGACAAAGTGGCAAGTGAACTTCAGTGATTATAGACTGATAGATCTGAAGGAGAAACACTATATTAGAACACTTGGGAAAAAATCTGGTTGAGAACAAGCAGAAAACATAAACAACAAGATACTGTAAAAATCAGCAATACTCTTATGTCATCAGTTCTTCCATTACCCCTTATGTCATCAGTTCTTCCATTACTACTGTTACTCGAAAACAGTAGTATATATCTATTGATGTGGAAGAGAATGGTGGCAATGAGTAGCAGCTAGCAATAGGTTATACAGAAGGAATGTTTTAATAGAGTAATACTCTGATTGTGGAACATCAAAAAAGTTAAGAAAATACAGTAAAAATACTTGTAATTTTGTATCCCATGCAGGAGGAAAGAGAGGAATATATTCTTTGTGTCTTTAAATTACCATGGGTTCATCCCATGTGAAATACAATCCAGCAGGTTAAAACACACTAACAGAAATGCTTTCATGGACAACAGACAATTAAACTGAAAATGTGAATGAATTTCATATAAGGCCTAGATAGGTGGCTAAACAGTAGCCTAGAGGCAGCTTTAGCTCGGAAGAATATTGCTAGAAACTGAATATTATATCACTTGAATTATCATGCTATATTTGCCAAGTTTTGTTTCCTCCTTGTTTTTCCTAATTGTTGGGTATTGACTGCTGTCAGAAACTGGCAAAATAAAGATTTGGTCTTAGAATAAATCAGTACAGGTAAAACCAACTCTTCAGATCCAATTAGTAACCTGAGACCATATGCTGAAGTCAATATTTATTTATTTAACATTTAATTATTTAACATTTTATGTAACAGTATGGGGGTGGGTAGGGGTAAAGGAAAGGAGATGTAAAGCAGGAGATAGTCCTGGATCCAGTGGTATGCTGTTAGTCTTTTTTCACCTTAGGCTTCTTGGTGATGGTGTGTCCTGAGGTGGTTCAAAACTTTTCACTATTTATACATTTTAGCAAACAAATAAATCAATGCTCTTTGGCTACAAAGTTCTCTTACCCGTGCTCAGTCTTTTGAGTCTTCATTTGAGTCTGTGTGTTTCTTGGTTCAGTGGGTTGTGATCTTTCCCTGCCAGAATTGCCTTCTACCCAACTGGAGCTGATTTCAACACAGTTGCTAAGTTTGCTTTCCTTGTGGACATTTCTACATTTCCATGTAGAAATTCTGCATTCTTTGTGTCCATTATCAGTGATCTATTCTTCTCCTCCAGCTTTGTTACCTTCCCCTAGGTCTGAGATAACACCCAACAATACTACCACCTTTATCTTATCTTGAGTTCCTGTCACAGTGGCTTAATTTATAGTCCCTTGGAGGCATATTTGGGGAGTGGCATCTATCCCATAACTTGGGATGATCTTTGCTTGACCAGTGATGTTTGTATTTGCAGTTGCTTCTTTACACAAATTTCTACAGTGGGAATTGTTGTCTGTGTGCATTAACCAGGATTTGCTACGCAGATCTCACCTCTGCCATGTTAGAAACATCCTGTCACTCCCTCTGTGCTCATCTCATGGCAATGTCCTTCTGTGGCCTAAAGAGTGCTTGACTCAGGCAACTGTGCTCTTTAAGTCCTTACACCAGACATACTACAGATTTCATTGTATGAGACTATTCAAATACAATATTTTGAATAGTAAATATTATAAACAGAAGTGTACCCTCACCTACCACCTGACCCAGCAGAGAGACAGCAATTTCTAAACAGCATAGTTGCCTATGATTTCTAGTCATGTCTGTGAACACACTAATTAAAGCTGCTCACTTTTAGGGAAACAGGAACTTCAATAAATTGCGAAGCAGAAAAGGTTTTGATGTAAAGGTTAGATAATCCTGCACAGCGTGATGAAACCTGGACCTGTCTTTACTTTTATTTCCTATGACAAGGAAATCTGAATGGTGATGATGTCTTGAAAAGCATGCGGCTCATAAAAAGAAACCAGCAGGAAGTCTTAAAAAAGAAGGATATTGCTTTGTAGAAAATAATATTTCATCCTGAGTACAATTAAGCTCCATGGACAAGCAGGCCATTACATCCTGTCGCTAAATATCACAACCCAAAGCCCCCTAATGAACTGATTAGCATTCTTGTTTCTTTAGGAAGTTAGAGACATGCACAGTTGGTCCACTCTTTTATTGACAAAGTCTGTAATTATGAATATTTCTCCTATATATTAAATTGTGTTAATTTGTGAGCCATCATGTGTATGCTAGCTGAAAAGAAATAGTTATTATCTCAATTCTTCTGTTTCCTTTAATTAGGGAAGTCAAAGAATATTGAATTTATATTGATCTAACATATTAAATCCATCGAGTGAAATGTTCCATAAAAAGCACAGTGAACAAAATACACTTGTACATTCAAAATAAAAATTTAGTGGGTTTAGGAAGAGTATTTAAATTGCATATTAAAAGTTTAATTAAGTGATTTAGTCAACACGCTGTTTATCAGTACAGCTCCCATCTTCTGATTTTCCAAGCAGCAGCTGAGAAAGTTTGAGCTTACTGATAAAAGTGGTGTTGATGGTGTTCTTTTACAGAAACTTATGGAACTAATACTTGAGAGACAATCAGCTGATTGCTGCTTTTCAGCTAGCAAAAAAAGCCCTTTCTTTTGATCAATTAGCTGTTCCTTTGCCATTTAATTTGATTTGTTGACATTGTAGAAAGGGGAGGAACAAACAGTAGTTAAGTGAGTCAAAGCCTTCACTACCAAATGAGGTAAAAGAAACCCATTTCAGCTGCAGGGAAGGGACTTGCTGCCTCCGAACTGCTGGTTACTTAATTGACCTCATAGCTTGAAGTTCCCCCTGTACAACATAAACTGAATCTGTAAGATGTCCTTGCATCCTAAGGACTTTGTGGATTACAGAACCTTAGATTGTCAGGTTGAACAAGGTTGTGTGTTGCTCTTTGGTAGAGGGTCAAGATGTTAACTGTGTGGGCAGGTAATGAGATAGGGCTTTGGCAACCAATGTAAATTTAATTTAAGTCTATACTTCTTTTAATATCTGGTCTGGACTTAAGGCATATATTATAACTAACACTGGTTTTACTTGTAATATATGATACATACACAGTGAATGCAGCAGCTTTGTGTGATACAAATCACTGCCAATTTGTTTTATTATTACAACATAGAGATAAGTAGGAGTGAATCAAAGAGAAGGTATTATTTGACAAGTACTCTTCAGAAGGTACTGAGTTAAAAATCTAAACATTTATATGTGTTTCTTGAACTATTATTTTCAGATGCAGAATTTTTCTGTTGAACCTTGGTATATGTATTTTTCAGACAATTGCAATTATTTTCACAAAATGTGAGAAATCCTTAACAGTCCAACAGCATTCACACTGCTTGCTCTTAGTAGAAAATAATTTGTTGAAATGGTTTGAAGTGACCACAAAGCCTTTTGCACCAGTCTTCAAAAGGTTTGCCATGTTTTGTGGAGGCTGTTGTCATCTAGTATAGCGGCAGTCTCAGTTTGCTTTTGAAGATTCTGCTAAAATACAAGTGGTGAATCCTGGGGTCTTTTAAAAAAGTGTTTAGTAGAGATTGACATTATTCATCATCTATTCTAGGGTAACTGCTGCTTTTACTTAGCTTGCTATGCTACACTATATTAGTATTTTATATACACAATGTATTAAAATCAGTATAAACTTCAGACAAGCAATTCACTGTGAAAAAAGGTGCCAGAATGTACGAGACCAAACACACAGCAGTTAGAAATTTTGCCACAGATCTTGTCTGAGCCGTGCAATGCTGTCCAGTTGCATTTATTAGCAGAATGATCTGTAGTCCAGTGACTCCAAAAAGGCAGGTCATGAAGTAAAGGCACTTCAGAAAAAGTTAACAAATACCAAACTACTTGATTTCATTTTCTTCCTGCCAGTGTTGCAGCTCAGCTGTACTTCTGTCTTCATCCAAAACCAATGAATTGTGTAGTTGATAATGCATATATTTCAACCTGTTCATAATAATTACAGTTGGGATTGCTGTACTCAGTAGTATTCCCTGTTGTTTCCAATTTAGCTAGAGTTGGCTAACAAAAGCCATATTTAAGGAGAAAAGGAAGAGAAGTTATTAAAAGTACCTAAATTGAGGCACAGTCTCAGTAGAATGCCAAGAACTTAGAGGTATCCCATAATGCACCAGATGGAAAATAAAAATCTCAGGATTCATCATGTCTGGCATTGAAATATTAGATAGGAAAACATCTTGCCAGAATACTGTATTTTGTGCTTAAAATTATGCATGAGATATTCAACGGGAGTCAGTTTTCAACAGTATAAAATTAACCAGTTTATGTGGACTCTATTAACATAGCTGTAATTTTAGCTTAGTGTCTTGAAGAATATCACAGAAATTTTCTCTCACTTCCTCCACTCCCCAGGATTTTTTTTCAGGATACTTTTTGGAATTTACAAGATGGAAGTCTACATTTTACTGATAATTTCAGCCCTTTTTTTTGTTTTGCTTCCTAGAAAACTAAAAATACTGGAGTGTTTAATATCTGGCATTTATGTAGAGAAACAGCAAAACTAATTTGTCTAATTTTCCTTTACCCTTCAGTCTGTGGAAATAAACACCTTCATAATTGCAAAAAACTGTATTTGTTCATAAGATCTGTTAATAGTCAAAGAATCACAAATAATAAGTATCCTAAATTTTAGGATCAAAATTAAACCAAATGTAGGAATTATTTTTTCTAGTTTCACTCTTTTTTGTTGTTTTGGTTTGTTTGTGTTTTTGTGAACTGGTGACATTTCTTTTGATGGTCTTAGCTTGTGTTTTGTCATGTCTTGTTTCACATAATCCTTTTTTATATAGTCCTTGGGCAGCATTTATAGGCAAACCTCGCATCAACTTTCTTTGCTTTCCTACCATTAGCTTTTTAAGAGGGTGAATAATTTTTTAAGAATCTTGAGTCTGAAGATCAGTTTCCTGTGCGCTATGCTCATCACGGGAGCTGAGTAAAGGAGATTCAAATTGATGTAGAAGAAAAGAGGGCTGGCAGCATCAGTTCTCTGTGATCTGTTGCCAGCCAGTCAGCACAGGCATTCTGGAGCTGCTTATGAGCTGCATCTTGTGAAGTTACTAAAAGCATGAAAAGAAGCTTGTACTGGCAAAAGAACCATGTTGAGAAAGGCTGAAATTGGGTGGTTGATGGGTGATAGAAGACGTATCTTTTTAAGTTGTTGAATCTTGACTTTAGTTAGTATTTTTTCACAAGACTGTCATAGGGGAGGTTGTTCTGCACTTACATAATCAGCTAGTAGCCATTAGTGACTAATTAGAATATTGTGAAAGTACATTATTTCTCCCTTCCTGCATATATCTGACTGAGATCATTATTGTGTGAATTTCTGGCCTGGATTCTAAATCACAAAAAAACGCCCAGGAACTTCTTGTTATTTTTAAAACAACCTTAACAAACCAGAAGGACTCTTAACAGTGCAACTGAAAGGGAATTCAGCTTCTGCACAAAACTGAAAAAGGAGTCCATTGCAAAAACCTTAAAGAGTGAAAACAGTAATCCAGCTATAAAATGTTAATACGTACTGATCACTACTGGAGTTCCCCAGGGCTCAGTACTGGGGCCAGTCCTGTTCAGCAGCTTTATTGATGAGCTATACTACAGGATTGAGTTCACCTTCAAGCAAGTTTGCTAACAACACAAAACTGGGTGGGAGTGTTGATCTGCTGGAGGTAGAAAGGGTCTGCAGAGGGATGAGTGCAGCCTGGGACGGTGGACCGAGGCCAGTGGTATGAGATTCATTAAGAAAAAAATGCCAGGTCCTGTGCTATTCTGTTGGTCTAGATTTTCATGCACTTGATTAAAAATTCAGTGCTTCATAAAGTGACAGTAGTGTATTTATTCTGTAGTAGAAAGTGTACAAACACAGTAAATTCTCTTTTGCAGTAGCTGAGGTGGGCAATTGAGAGTAAAGATAAAATGGCTATTTCTTGTCTTTTGTGGCATTCACTACAGCAGAAAAATAATGGAACATAAATATTTGTTTAGCTACCATTCCATTAAAGTACACACTTCCTGAAGTTGCCCAACATAAAGAAATGGCTATGTAGAATATTTTGTCTATGAGCTTCTTTGGCAAACTATGTTATTGGAAGTCCTGAATAAACATAGGGATTTTTATTTTATAAGAAATATTTTGATGCTCTTTATAAATTGCCTATCTTTTATATAAGTAGTTTTGTTCTTTTCACCTCTAATTTAATTAAGTTGTGTTGACATTGCAAATAGCCTTAGAAAAAGCATAAATACCTAATGCGACCTTCAGAAACAGAAATATCTGCTTTGCTGTTACAATGAAGTTTTTTACCTTTCATTATTTTTACTTTTAATGCTGTTTATCAATATTTCTGGTTTTACTCTAATTTTAGCAGGGTCTATAGTATTTATTGATAAAGTATTCAGGTTAATTATTGGTATCTGTACCTAAATTCCAAGGATATTGTAATTTATATACCTAAGCATTTAGCTTCAATAAGGAGACAACACTAAATAAACTACATGGGTGCTTGAAGTTAGATTAGTTGCATACATTTCATTTCATAAGAAATTACGTAGTAATTGAATAATGTTTAAATTTAAAGTGGTTGAGATTTTGATGAAAGTCCCTGAATTTATTAATAGGCCTAGTATACACAGTAAATACCAGGAAGCATACATGGAAGGAATTCTTTTGGTCCTTATTTGAGGAAATAAAAACTGTGTATGACATATAAATCAATGTTAAATGAATGCAGTGTTTTTGATTGGATTCACTGAGTGTTCTTGTAGCCTTAACAGCAACGTACAGCTTCCTAGTTCATGCCAAAGAAGATTTTCAGAAACTTTCACGGATGCATGAGAACATGGAAAAACTCTATCAGAATGTGATGGGGTATTATGCCATTGACCTGAAGAAAGTTTCCGTGGAGGAGTTTTTAACGGACTTAAACAACTTCAGGATGATGTTCATGGTACAATATGTTTATTTTATACCTAATGTTTCTTAGAAGTTATATTTTGTAGTCTTATCTATATGAAAGAATTTGGATAATAAGCTGATTTATGTCACATCTGGCTTCTTATGATTACATAGCTTAACTGACTGACTACACTCCTGAAGGAATAGTGTATGCGCATGAGTTTTGTGATAAAATCTAGAGGAATGATCCAACTAGTGCTTATAGATCTAAAGAAAGAAAGATGGAAAGATTCTCTTAGTCATTTTGCCACCTACTCCTCATTGCAGCCTGGTCATTACAACTTATGATTACAACACATGTATTTAGTTTGCTTGCATGATTCCCAGTCTTGTTTGGTTTTACTTGGTTGGTTGGGTTTTTTAATGATTTCAGACAGGTCTGAAGATATAGGTGGAGAAAATTACTTCTTTCACAGGTACTGAGAAACAGTTTGAAATTCATATATCCATCCGTTTTGAGGAAAGCACTTAAACTGGAACCCATATTTAGCAACCATTTGGAACATGTAATGATTACTAAGCCTCTGCTGCTTCAGAGTTTCACAACTAAAACCCTAGATACTATTCAATTGCAATAATTTTGCTTGACAAGTCACATATGCCAGATTTTTGGGAACAGGGGCATTGATTGTGTTTTCATAACTTAATCAGTGCCTAATACGAAATTCAGTAGTCTGATTTCAGAATTAATAAATATTACAAAATAGTTGTATTACTTTAATTTCTGATGTTTAAACCATACTTCCCATGCAAATGTTGTAGAATTGTAAACACTTAGGTTCATGTTGAGTTGGAGGCTCTAAGAAAGTGGTTGTGCTTTGCATTAATTTTCCTATATTTCTTCTTCATGTCTTTAAAATTAGCACTGATGCTAGCCTCTACTTCACAGCAGTTTCATAAAGATAGATTAATTAATGCTTCAAAACAGTTAGGTATTATTGATGAGCATGAGAGAAGAAACCTTGAGGAAAATTAATAATTCTGTCTTGCAGAGCAGTTTGAAGGCTATATGAAAAAGATGTGTAGATAAGGCATGTAACCCCCTATCATTCAATGACACTAATCAAAATCTTGAGTAACTGCTCAGTTTTGAGACTTTTCAGAAAAGATTTTTGAGATGCCTTGCATGAGACAAATGAGCTGATTTTCACAATTGTTTAGTATTGGGGTTTATTACTGGCAGAAACTGAAGGTGACGGTTATCTTAGAAAATTTCAGTTCAGAAGTTCAGAAGACTTGTAAATTTAGTGCTGAAAAATCATTGGATTGTTATGAATCCCAAACTAAAAGATGACTTGTCACCAGTAGGTATGGGAGAGTGAAGTTCAGTCAACTTGTTACCATTCAAAGTTGATGATTTACATGAAGTATTTTCCTACTTAGATTTTTTTTCCATTCTTAATTAATGAAAATGTATTAAAAAGTTTTAAAAATCTCTGTTTAAATCTGGAGCCCTAGACTTGAGTTTCATAGCTAACTTTGATTTGCACTTTGTATTTCAGTTTTATTTGGTAGCTGTGGCAACTATTATTGCTCACTCTGTGAGCACCAAATCTAGAGTACAGTTACTTGGCCAGATCCAAGTGAAGCATCTTGCCTTCAGAGCTTTAGCTTCCACAGCTAAATTGCTGGTACACTCAGTGGAACATCTTAGGTATCAGATATCCCTGTTAACCTCCCTCTGTACTTTCACAGCATCATGGGTACTGCTAACAAGCTCATTCCTTTCATGATAGGAAAAGCTTTCATGATGAAGAAATTGTCTAATGATTGGGATTTTGCTCCAGTTGTAGGAAAGGGAGCAAACACACATTGAGCTAACAGCTCTTCTGTCCAAGACTAGGCTAATCAGGCTAATCATAGGATATAAAAGACCTTTGCTCCTATTGGCACTAGGTTGCTCTTCAGCAGAGACATAACTTCAAGAACCAGAAGAGCAACGAAGTAAAAGTGTTCCCTAGACTCTATTTTTCTTTTATATGAAGCAAATACTTAAATAAAGATTAGAAATTACCCTGGAAGTCGCAAGAGAGAACCCAAGAATGCCTCCACTTTGGAAAATCTAGGTCTTGGCATTCCACTTACATTTCATGTTGAAAACACATGGGATATGTAGGATAGAATTTGGCCTTAGGGCATATTTGTAGGAGAGTGTGACTGTCTAATCTTGTGTTTTAGTCAAGGGAGATGCATACTTAATTCATTTAGTGGAATTTGGAGAGCTGTCTACCTGATGTCTCAAAGGAGATGTAGCAACAGAAGTACCTGGTATCCTGGAGAAGTGTCTTAAATAGTATCCAAGACATCATCAGCCTGAAATTTTAAGCTTTGATATAGAATTTGTGTAAAATTGGTTTCCTGTTAGAGAAAGGCTGGGGGCAAGGGGTGATACTCCAAAGCATCCAATTTGCACTGCATATGAAGATATAAGCTATTAAGTCAGGCCCACTTGTTCAGTGTGATTAAAAAGAATAGACATCTACATTTGAATGTCTGTAGTCTGAGGTTGAGTCCTACTGATATTATTTTTGGGGAAAAAGTAGGTGCAAAGTAGAAACTTCCTTGGTCACTATTAGGAAAGTGTGTAATTTCTGCCAGTATTGTACGTGTCAATTACCAGGTCCCATTTGAATTTTATCCAGTAGTTTATTCTACAGAATACCCAGTCTGAAAATCAGCAAATCATTTGTCAAAATTAATTCAACCAAAATTTTTAGAATTTTTTTGGGAGCATCTACCCTCTTCCCCCTGAATCAAGAAATGCGACAGAGGTGACTTTGGAGGAGTCATTGTGAAAGTACAGTTTTGCTTTGTATAAAAAATCCAATTCATTGTCGTTTTTCATGATGGAAAGCTTATTCTTCTTCAGTTATCCAACACAAGTATTTCTTCACAAGCTTTGTGTGATTTTTTTTTGTTTTCCCCTTCTTTTGGTCACTCTGTGGCAGTGATGTTGCAAACAGTGCCTATGTGCCCGTGCAAGTATTGCTGTAATCCATATTTATCTATATTATGTAAAACTTGCCAGTCCTTTTTTTTTTTTTTTCTGAGTTCAGTCTGGATGGTTTCCCGCTAAAAACAAATGAGACATTAATTATCCCTACAAAATTGCATTTTTTGCCTCAGACCTTGTGAAGATGTTAACCGTTTTGTAAGAGGGGACACTAATATATTATCAAAGACAGGGTTCTATGTAGCTGTTCTGAAAAAAAGCAAATTTCTGCAATGAAGAATAGGTGCACTTTAATGCAAATGTAGATTCTTAGAGTACTGAGAGTTTACCCGTGCACATAGCTAACACTAAAATAATGAAAAGGCAATGCCAAAATACTTTTGTTAGAAATGTATTGAATGTAATAGAGTTCTTTTGCTTAATGTCTGAATATGCAAAATTTTTTATTTCAAAACTCTGAAACTCATTGTTCTATTTTAGCTTCACTGGAAGTTTTGGAGTACATACTTATAATTCTAAATAAACAGTGTTGTCTGGATATTAACCAGAATTTTTAAACCCGGAGAATTAATGCATATGATGGTATGAGTAAGAAAAATGCAAAACTGTTACACAGGCAGACTTGGTTTGCTTGATGTAGTGGCAGCATGAGAAAGAAGAAAGTGTTGAAATTGTTTTAGAACTACAAATGGTAACATACATTTTTGTAGAACAAGGTGGTTTAGACATTTTGAATTTTTCCTACATTAACATGTATATTCTTAAGATGCATTTCTTGCTGAATTTATAATCCTCATTTAGGGACAATTAGTATGCTTTTAATGTATTTATTCTGTATTTGCTTACTCTTCTGAATAAAATGTTCTAAATATGGAATGTGAAATACTTGATTTGATAAATTAAGGTTAGTTAGGGGTTACAGTTTGAAAGCTTTTTTCTTTGTTTTTAAGGTTCAGCTTTGTTTTTGCTAAGACTTCCATTTTAATGGAACTCTATACTTATTTTCATAGCAAGCAGTAAAAGAAAATGTGAGAAGAAGGGAAGCAGAAGAAAAACAGAGACGTGCTAAAATAGCTAAGGAGAAGGCAGAAAAAGAAAAACTAGAGAGACAACAAAAGAAAAAACGCTTGTTAGAAATGAAAACAGGTAAGTGATGTAGAAAACGCATTTGACTAAGCATTTTACTGGAAATAAATATTCTATTTTTTCATTATCTGAATGTGCTGTGATAAAAAATCAAAATAGATGAATGCTTTTTCACTGATTAAAGTTTTCAGCAAAGAGGTGTTTAAATTTTGGGTTTTTTAAATGAGCTTTCCTAATCGCCAGGGATTTTGAGATGTTAAATAACTCAAATTATTGCTTTTTATTTTTCTGTTGGATTATATTGAACCTTGTGTGACCACGTGTAAGTTCAGTTATGCTCAAAACCCTTTATGTTACTTGGGAAAAACATTTTCCAAATCACAAAGCCATTTTCTTTAACTAAGGTTACATACTCATTTTTGTCCTTTTATAAGACTAAGCTCTTCCTGAATTTTTCTTTGAGTATGTCACTTGTTATTTTAACAGGTCCCTATTGAAACACCTCAGAAACCCCCTCAGCCAGGCATTTTAAAAGTTACTTGTGCTATATTGTCTTTTGTACTGAAAGAGATGGCAGATGCTGTGAGTTTTCTGTTACTAAAAGAGGTGTCTGATGATCCTCTATACGTCTGTATTTTATCCTAGACTGAGCTTCTGTAGTCCTTCAGAATGATACATGACTTACTGTGTAAATTGCCATGAGCTTCTCTTTTTCCTTTCCTGAGCAGATCTTGTTAAAGTTCCCTACCTAAAGCCTGGTTGGCACCTTTGGCATAAACGATTATGTCTCTTCAGTTTTCACTAATAGCCAGAGTAGGTGTGCTTAGTTTCAGAGATGTTTCAAACCAAAAGTCTTTGGTTCATTTGTATAAGCCTGTCCATGTTTTCAGGTGTGAGTCTAAAGCTTTCTTGTGGGAAATCAGGCAGCTGCTCTCTGAACATAGAAATTCTAATTCTTTAGAAGTACAATTCAAGACCCAATCAAAAAACTACCGGTGACAATCTTTTCAATGCTCACAGAAGATAGAGGAGGCTGCAGAAGACTAGGAAGGGGTAAAAGGGTGTCTGTATTTATGTGTGGTTGGAAATGTTTCAAACAAGATTTCTCTCAGACATTTCTCTCAGTATGTATGACTGATAGCATTTTGGATGGAAAATAGATAGTTTTTTAGTCCAAGTTAAAGCTGCTCTCAAGTCCTGTTTTTCACAATTTCATGGTCAGTCTTCCCAGACCACAGGTGCCAGTGTTGGAGACTTATGTGTTACATACACATGTGTATGTAGGCCTCTGATATGAACTCTTCCACTTCAGCTGATGTGGCAGGGAGCTAAATACTTGTCCTCTACTTGGCTTTAAGTAGCCTGGGGTTTTGATATCATGCAAGTGTGCAGAAAGATGTTTCTTGTCCTGTGAGTTGCTGAAGGTTCGGTTTGGAATGACTGATCTAAACAGCAGATAGTAGAAAATGGTGTTAGTGCCACCTCAAGCTATCAATGTCTTGAGCCTGATATTGACTAAATTGGCCACTGATGATTTATAAGGTTTCTTGTGCCTTTTTACAACATATTTTTAAATCTACTAGAAAACTTGAATTTTGGGAGTGAGAAAGAAAGCACGTGGGGTAGATTTGTTTGTCAGGGACTACAACAACAAATGTGCGAAAAATGGGGTTGTTTGTTTTGGTTTTTTTTAATGATGATTATTGTTATTATTTTGACACTCCTACCAAAATTGTACTTACAGTATTTAATTGGAGGCATAATGTAGCTCTGATTTTTTGGAGTTACAGAGCCAATGAAAAAAAAAGGGTTTTTTTTTTCCTTTTTTTTTCCTAGCTATGACTTGTTCATTGAAAGGCTGTCTTCTCATTAGGAATCTGTAAATCAGTCATGTCTGATCTGCTACAAAATTCATAACCAGGTCCTCTGTCTGTCAAAATATCAAAACACTCTTACCTGAAGTGTGACTGTGGAGTAATTGATTTTTGCTGCCTATTATTTCTTTATATGGTGACTAGATCACATGTTAGATTTGTAGGAACAAATTGTTATTTCAAACATTACTCAAGTAAAAACCCAGAAGTTATTTTTGGGGTTTCAAAGAGGTGCATACTTGGTAGAAGAAGAAGCATGAGAGTATATATGCTAAATTGTTCTTCAATTTTTTTTTTCTCATTGGATAGATCATAGTGTCTTCTACATGTCAACTCTTTTTTTTTTTTTTTGAGTTACGTGGCTTTTTAATTGAAAATTATTTGAAGATTAGGAATGGCTGTGAGTCCCTGTACTATGTGCTACTTCATGATTTCTTAATTGTTTCTCTTAAACTTCTTTTAAACACTCTAAGAAGCAGTAACAGCAATAAAAATCAAAATAAGCAACAAAAATAATAAAAAAATAATCCAATCCCACTTTACTGGGCTGACAGTCATTAGCAGCACTGGTTGTGCTGTTATTGTACCCTTGTCACTATAATTGGTTCTTAGTGCCTATCAATCACTACCTCTGCATAGTCTGTTTTAACATCTGTGTCCTCAATTTAATGTCAGTATAAAATCCCATGGAGCTCATACTGTAGTGTTGGTGATGATGGCCAGCAATGATGTTCCTAGTTGACAAGATGGCATACTGAAATTTCAGGGGTTTTCTGCAAGGCAAGCTAATATGGAAATAGACTTTTTTTCCTACTCTACCATCTCACCTTCCTTCCCCATGCACAGTTTTGGATCTTATTCTTTTATAAAATGGTTTAGTTTCTAGATAGCTCAAATCCTCTTGTCCATCTCTAGGTTAGAGTATGTAAAATGCTTCAGGGTGTGTTAGTTTCCCAGGCCACAGCAATGCCTTTTGTTTCCTCTTGCTTAGCTGCTGCTCCTTTTCTTGTGGTAAAAGCAGTCTTTCACAGTACTTGAGGTTCTGCTTTTATTCAGTGACTGTTGATTAGCCATTAGTGACTACTTTATGATTCTGGAGCTTCTCTTTCAGCCTATACTTCATACCTTTCAAGACTGAGGTGCTATCCAGTGCTTAAAAAGGATTTGTATCATCATCCTAAGCTTGTATTGTTAACCACTGATCTCATTTACAACACAGACATCTAACTTTCCCCAGATTCTGCTTTGTTCTTGAAGTCCTTTTCTTTGAGTTTCTTCATCTGCTTTTGGAAGCTGTTTGAAGAGCAGGGTTTTGTTGCCTATCATGCTACCTTTGGCTGCATGAGGTGGAGGAAACTAATTTTGCATAAAAGTACATACATAATACTGCAAAAGTTTTTAGATACTTGGGGGATATTTGCTGACTTTTTTGCATTGACAAAAACTTAATATAGAATCATAGAATAATAGAATGCTAGGGGGTTGGAATGGACAATAAACCCCCAACCCCTCTGCCATGCGCAGGGACACTTACATCATAAAGTAATATGTAACAAAATATAAATTTTATTAAAATGTACCCAGTATGTGACTTGAGTCATTGATTTGCATATAGCATGATAGGACTGTATGCCAGTTTTGAATGAACTACAACCAAAAAAAATGAAGACTACAAAGGTCATATTAACCTAAAAAGAAAACTAATCTGGATTAAAGGTAACTCTTCAGTTTTAGTTTAAACTAATTTCTTCAGGATGAAAACAATAATTGCATTAGTGGTAATAGAAATTTGTGACAAATATGAGTTCCAAGGTAGTCCTGTAATATATTGGCCTTTTCACAAACTGTAGTAATTTTTCTTAGCTTGTGTTGTGCCTTTGATACGCAGGCGACAACTGAGTCATCTAGATCACAGGTATGCTCTGTCATCCATGCTTCTATATCAGGCTTCTTTTGCCATACTGTTGCACCAAATTCAGTGTTGATATGGTCATTTTCTAAAATTAGATAAATATGTGCATTTTGTGATAAGTCTTTGTGAAGTTTTAAATTCAATTTTTTTTTATATCTCAGATATAAAGATATTAATATTTTATAGTTTGTGAAGTGTGTAGTGTTTTACGAATATGCAGTACAGCATGTTTTAGAAAAACATGCTGTACTGAATATTTTAGATAGGCTTTACAATATATATTTTAACCTCTGCTAACAAGACCATAGATTGCTGTTATTATGTGGAATCTTTTCATTTGCCCTCTTGAAAATTGTTTTTGAGATTTGGACCTGCAACCCGTGTCAGATTTAGGCACCTCTAAACTAGTTTGCTAAAAGTCTCTATCTCTACTTTAAGTCTTCGCAATACCTTCATGTCGTAGTGGTCACAGCTCAAATAGTTCACTGATAAAGAAGGCTGTGAGTTTTCAGTTTACATAGTAAAAATATCAGCTTCATATTTTCCTTTCAGCTCCATCCTAACTTGAAAAGTAAGTGGAATGCAGTAAACATTTTGACTAAGTAGTGAGTGATACTTAGCATTTTGAAATTTATGTTAATAAAATCTGTCCACTAAATATTCTCTGGACTACAAAATTATATTCATCATGAGATGGTTAACTTGCTTTTCTGAAGCCAAATCAAACTATCACACACTACCCTTCCAAAGGTAAATAGCCAGTGAAAGGGGATCTTTATGTAAATGCCACTTGTCTGCATACTATTAACATTCAGGTACATACTTTCTGATGCTGTTCAGATTCTTAGTAGAAGCACACCAATCAATTATTTTGATCTTATCAGAATGTAAAGAATTCTATAGCTGAGATAATAGCAGCTAAATTTATTGTAATATAATTGAGAACTCCATCATTGTGGCATCTTCACTGTGTCTTTCTTTGAATACTATTTAAGTAACAAGCCGCTTTTATCAGTGGTTATTTACAAAGATTGCCCTTTTCTTGCATAAAAACAGTGAAGTAATGCCAAAATGGAATATCTGATTTCCAATATAGCATATTAGTTTGTACTCTGTTGTGTTGTTCAGTTTAATTTTTATCATAATGGTCTGGTTTTAAATAAGTTTTAGTTCATTTAAACAGTTCTGATCTTATTTGCAGTCAATTTTGTGGCATTTATTTTTGCAGAGGTTTTATATTGTTTATCTCATTTTGGAAAAAAAAAAACAAACCC